CTTGCTTCGATTACCAATCAAACGATTCATATTATTATTATCACTATTATTGTTATAATTTATTACGTCACTTAACTCCGCCTGGAGTCCCTCTGGGGGCTACTGCCGGTCCCAAACCCGGATAAAGGAGGAGGGTTGGGCATGGGGTTAGCGTCCCCATCCCGTAGAAAACTAACTCGCTAAAAAAACGCTAACCAGAAAAAATTACTCAAACCTTTTAAACTCTGCCCTGGGAGTCAGAAGGTCTTCATTTAGAAGAATTATGACGCCTAATGATGAAAGCCGAATTCCTTCGGAAGTTACGAGGCCGATGCCCCTTCTGACAACCAGAGCGACCATTTATTTAGGTACATGGAATGTTCGTACAATGTGGGACACCGGGAGAGCCTTCCAAATTGCTGCAGAAATGAGAAGATACAACCTAGAGGTACTTGGGATCAGTGAAACACATTGGACACAAGTTGGACAACAACGACTAACTACAGGAGAGTTCCTGTTATACTCCGGCCATGAAGAAGAAAATGCACCACATACACAAGGAGTTGCATTGATGCTGTCCAAACAAGCACAAAATGCGCTTATAGGATGGGAATCTCATGGACCAAGGATCATCAAAGCCTCGTTCAAAACAAAGAAAGAGGGTATTTCAATGAACATCATCCAATGCTATGCGCCTACCAACGACTACAATGAAGACGCTAAAGATCAATTCTACAATAGGCTGCAGTCAATCGTCGATAAGTGCCCAACAAAGGACCTGACCATTCTGATGGGAGATTTCAACGCCAAGGTTGGAACGGACAGCACTGGATATGAAGACATCATGGGACGACACGGACTGGGAGAAAGAAACGAAAACGGTGAGAGATTTGCAAATATATGTGCCTTCAATAAGCTGGTCATAGGCGGCACCATATTCCCACATAAACGCGTACACAAAACCACATGGACTTCACCGGATCACTCTACACAAAACCAAATCGACCATATTTGCATCAACAAAACGTTCAGGAGGACTATAGAGGACGTGAGAACCAAGAGAGGAACTGATATAGCATCAGATCATCACTTGCTGGTCGCCAAGATGAAGTTGAAACTCAAGAAACACTGGACAATGGGGCGGACAATATCACAAAAGTTCAATACGGCCTTTCTTCAGGATACTAACAAACTCAACGAATTCAAGATAGACCTCAGCAACAAGTTCCAGGCCTTTCATGATCTACTCAATGGAGAAGGAACTACTGTGGAGAGCAACTGGAAGGGGATCAAAGAGGCAATCACTTCAACATGTCATGAGGTCCTGGGTCATAAGAAGCACTATCACAAGGAATGGATCACTGTTGATACACTGGATAAGATTCAAAAAAGGAGGAACAAGAAGGCAGCAATCAATACCAGCCGAACAAGAGCAGAAAAAGCCAAGGCACAAGCTGAATACACAGAAGTAAACAAACAAGTGAAGAGGAGCATCAGAACCGACAAACGTAAATATGTGGAAGATTTAGCAACGACGGCGGAAAAGGCTGCAAGAGAAGGAAACATGAGACAATTGTATGACACGACAAAGAAACTCTATGGAAATCGCCGCAAACCAGAACGACCAGTGAAAAGCAAAGAAGGCAAGGTAATCACCAACATTGAAGAGCAACAAAACAGGTGGGTAGAACACTTCAAAGAACTGTTGAATCGACCAGCTCCACTGAACCCACCCAACATCGAAGCAGTACCCACTGACCTCCCAATCAATGTTAGCCCACCAACAATTGAAGAAATCAGCATGGCCATCAGACAAATCAAGAGTGGCAAAGCAGCAGGACCGGACAACATCCCAGCAGAGGCACTAAGAGCAGACGTAGCGGCAACTGCAAGGATACTCCACATTCTCTTCAATAAGATTTGGGATGAAGAACAAGTACCAACAGACTGGAAAGAAGGACTTCTGATCAAAATACCGAAGAAAGGCGATCTCAGCAAGTGTGATAACTACAGGGGCATCACTTCTCTCAATACCGGGAAAAGTCTTCAACAGGGTATTGTTAAACAGGATGAAGGACTGCGTAGACGCCCAACTTCGTGACCAACAGGCAGGATTCCGTAAGGATAGATCGTGTACAGACCAAATCGCAACTCTACGGATCATTGTAGAACAATCAATTGAATGGAATTCATCAATCTACATCAACTTCATTGACTACGAAAAGGCATTTGATAGCGTGAACAGAACAACACTATGGAAACCTCTTCGACACTACGGCGTGCCTCAGAAGATAGTCAATATCATACAGAACTCATATGATGGATTAAACTGCAAAATTGTGCATGGAGGACAGTTGACAAAGTCGTTCAAAGTGAAGACCGGTGTTAGGCAAGGTTGCTTACTCTCACCCTTTCTCTTTCTCCTGGTGATCGAATGGATCATGAAGACGTCAACGTCTGAAGGGAAACGCGGGATACAATGGACATCTAAGATGCAGTTGGATGATCTAGACTTCGCAGACGATCTGGCCCTTCTATCCCAAACGCAACAAGAGATGCAGGAGAAGACGAACAGTGTGGCAGCAGCCTCAGCAGCAGTAAGTCTCAATATACAAAAAGGGAAAAGCAGGATTCTCCGATACAACACAACATGCACCAATCCAATCACAATTGACGGAGAAGATTTGGAAGATGTAAAAACTTTTACGTATTTGGGCAGCATCATTGACGAACAGGGTGGATCTGATGCAGATGTGAAGGCGCGGATCGGCAAAGCAAGAGCAGCATATTTACAACTGAGGAACATCTGGAACTCAAAGCAACTGTCAACCAACACCAAGGTCAGGATTTTCAATACAAATGTCAAGACAGTTCTACTATATGGGGCAGAAACCTGGAGAACTACGAAAGCCATCATCCAGAAAATACAGGTGTTTATTAACAGCTGTCTACGCAAAATACTTCAGATCCATTGGCCGGACACTATTAGCAACAACGTACTGTGGGAGAGAACAAACCAGATCCCAGCGGAGGAAGAAATCAGGAAGAAGCGCTGGAAGTGGATAGGACACACATTGAGGAAAGCACCCAACTGCGTCACAAGACAAGCCCCCACATGGAATCCTCAAGGCCAAAGGAAAAGAGGAAGACCAAAGAACACATTACGCCGAGAAATGGAGATAGACATGAGAAAAATGAACAAGAATTGGATGGAACTAGAAAGGAAGGCCCAGGACAGAGTGGGTTGGAGAATGCTGGTCGGCGGCCTATGCTCCATTGGGAGTAACAGGCGTAAGTAAGTAAGTAAGTAATTACTTCACTTATTCACTCTCTTTTATTCCCACCTTATGTATCCTTATTTTTCGACTTATACAGCGGCTCATCTATGGTGGAAACTCGGTTTTATCTAAACGTTCTCGAGTCACTGACTGGTTGGAAATTGAATGCTACCGCCAAATACGAATACTCAAGCAGTTTTTCTGAAACCACGTGCACCATTCAAACTGGCTGCCTTCAGCGTTCGCACCCTTGTGCAGATCGGACAAAAGATAGGGCTATCTGTGTCTTTAAAAAGTCTTAATATCGACGTTTTTATCTATCCGAGGCACGTATTCAAGACTCTAGTGAAGTACTACAAATCCGCTCTCCATCTATCGCCTCAAAAAGGTTGTTTTACGTGCATTTATCCGGGGACCCTGTAGCATCTTCGTCTGGTCATTTACGGTGTAGGCGAGATATCCGTTTACTAACCCAAGGACAAGTTTATTGCGCAGCAGTTCGTTCTGTCCTACTTTATGGAAGTGAAACATGGCCAGTAAGAGTAGAGGATATTCGTAGGTTACTAGTATTCGACCATAGGTGTCTTCGAAGCATTGCTCGTATATCCTGGGACTACTGAGTAAGTAATGTAGTTGTTAGGAAGCGGGTACTAGATAAGGATAGCAAATCAATTGATGAAGCAGTGAAACTTCATCAGTTGAGAAGGCTGGGATACGTGTAACGTATGCCCAGCCACCGACTGCTCCGATGTGCGATGTTTAACGGTGTAGGAGTAGGTTGGAACAATGCTAGGAGCGGCCAGACCAAAACATGGCACAAATCCATGAAGTCTCTAACAAGTGGACTGAGCCATATTGGTAGGTGTACACTACCTGGTTGGGATCCGTGAGACGATAGCAACCGATGGTTAGAGACCTTGAATGACATGGCTCAAAGTCGTTTGCAGTGGCGTAGGTGCATCTACTCTTTATGTTCTCCCAAATCTTAATGTTCTAAATTCTTCATGTCCCTTTTTTTCTCTTTCCAAATTTATTTCACTGGATTATACTCCTTGAATAACATCTTCAAACCCTAATCTTTCCGATTACTGCTTATACTTTCACTACCTCTACCACTGCGGGATTTGAATCGACAATTGTATCTGTGTGCTCTTGTGGTAAGGCAACTTGAACTGATATACGTACGTACGAAGTTCTACGTTGTTGCTGGTTGACTGGGAAGCACCGATCACGATTAATGCACGGGACTATATGATTAAATACATCTAGCTTTGATTCATTCAACGATAAACATAAAAGGCTCTCTGTACTATTCTCTTCCTAGACTAAACGAATTCAGAATATAAATAACGAATTTGTGGAGAAATCAAATAAGAACGAACAAAACCAGTTGTTATGGTGCAGAAACATGCTTACGAAGTCTTTGTAAGTAGAACAGAAATGAATATGCAAATAGTAAAAAATCATTTTTGATCGTAGCACTAATAAAGAGTGTTTAATGTAAAAAAATTCAGTAGACAAAGATACAATTCGTAATTTACGAAAACGTAATATTAAAGTCATAAGAGAAATGGTTGGTTGGAGGGATTTTCACCACCTAATCGCCCCTAACAAACATAAAGATATGTCAATATACTTTTAGTATTGTCATTTGAACAGAAAAACGATAACTGACAGACAAGAGGTAAAACAAAGAATACGAATATCAATATAAAAACATGCAAACTATGTACACACACTCACCTTAGATGGGACAAGATCAACCAAAGTCAATAAACGATTACGTGATATACTTGTCTTTCGATGATGATCAATTAATTGGTTAATGGAATCAAATTTAGATAACCAGAAAAAATATTTTCCAGCTTCGTCTTGAAGTACTTTAAAATGAAGAACTTCACAACCTTGTCTAAAGTAGAAAAAGTGGAAATAAATGAATGAGTGGGAAACATACAAGCGAAAAACTCTATATTAAAAGTAAAAAAATAAGCGGATACTAAATAATGTGAACAGAAACTAAAGTAAAATGAAGCGACTCAAATTGATGATGATAAGGATATTTTAGGTAGATTTGGTAGTTAGCAGAACACGCGTTTCATCCTGTTTGGAACCCATCAATTAGATGCACCTGAACCTGTGTTGATGTTCAGATCTGGACTTGAATCCAGCAGCTTTCGCTTCAAACGCTCAGCGCTTTATTTACTTAGCTACTGAGTATAGATAGCCATGATGTGATTATTTGAATCTTCCCGTCTGTTATGGACTGCAATCGACTAGACTCTTTAAGAACATATGTGCATATTATGCGAACTGCCTTGATACTTTTATAATGTTTGATCAACATAAAGGGAATGGTGAAGTTTTTTGCGTTACAAATGGCCAGAAGAAATAGTTCATAGGTCTTTAAAAGCCTTATTATTATTATTATTTATAAAAGTTAAAATATGGAAATGCATTTTTATTTTATTTTGAAGATAGTTTCGGTGAAGTTGCATTCTATGGAGTTGCGCAACTGTTTTTTGCTAGACACCATTATCATAAACGCAAACTTCAGAAAGAAATGAGATACTGTAAATCTTCCAAGGTGTGTTTTGTTTACTGTTATGATTTTAAGTCCGGCTTTTTATCACGTGATTTATCCACCAATCAAAATGCAACTTATACAATCTTAGCACTATGCCAAACCAATGAAGCTCAACCGGTATGAGCAGTCTAGCGTCCTTATTGGTCCTACGTCCTCCTAACCCCTCCACTTGAGTCCAGAACACAATACCACATTCTGCGATATGAATCGAATCGTTTATTTCAGACATACTCGGTTTATATATCAATCAGACAGACCACAACGTACCGTAAAATAGAAAATAACAAGTGTACACAAATAAGCCCAAAAAGTGGCTGTGAATGTGGGAGGCAGTAGTTAATAAACTGAACATGGCTTAAGAACCGTAAATCGTATAATAATAAATTATAGGTCAAAACAATGCTTATAATAAAGGGAATATAAATATACATAATCTAATTGTTGAATAGTTATACAGTAAGAATATTTATAGAATATTAGTCCATGAATAGTCCTCGGAAGTTACCCGTAATTTAGTCTTCGCTCGGATATAACATTGACACTGGATTTAATTTGGTTGTTATCAATCACACAGACAAGAGAACATAATATCATCAGAATCACCATCCTGGGTTAAAAATACCTTGTTGGACACTGACATTAACTTGCTAAACATGGATGAGAGGACCATCGATAGCTTTTTGATTATATTTCTGGACTTTACAGCAGTATGCAAATATAATCAAGCCAGGAATCAAATCCAGGGCCAGTAGTGGACCAAGTGGGGATCCCATTGCTACACCATCCTTTTGTCTATAAATTACGTCGTTGAATGTGAACTGTACATTACAAGTGCAACGTAGTAATAGTTCCTTCAAATAAACATCCGGTATTCCGATGCTTATCTCATTATTATTTATGTACTTGCAAATCAAACTAATGGTCTCTGTGAGTGGAACATTAATGAATAATGATTCGACATCCAGAGGTACCATAATTTTGTCACTTACATTCACTTTTATGTGCTCGATAAATTCAAAAGTATCACGTACGGAGTGCTTACAAATGTGTTTTCTAACGGGTTCTAGGAGACTTGCCAGCCACTTTGCTATACAGTGGTAAGGGGATCCTGACATATCGAGAATCCGTCTAAGAGGTAGGCCAGTTTTGTGTATTTTTGGCATTCCGTATAATCCCGGTATTATTGATGCTGTTGATTTTATGCGCTCAAAGACATGTTTGTCGATTAGCTGATCATTTTTCATTCTCTTAAGAACTTCAATCAGTTGCTTTTCCATAATTTCAGTCTTGTTTTCTCATTGATTGATTCAGTGATAAGGACATAAAGCCGAAAACGCAGATAACTACAGTAGAAAAGAAAACTTTTACATGAACATCGGGTTCAAGGGTGACAGAGCCACACACACACACCCTAAAAAGGAGAATTTCAGATTCTTTAAAAAGAACATTCCCCGCAACAACATTGCGAATAGTATTCTCCAGCCGATCATTGTTCACCAACAACCTTAAAAACAAATTATCGCATCTGACCAACTCAATGTGCATTTACCAATTTACCTGCTCATGTAGAGCTGGGTATATAGGTCGTCTGATGCGTACTTTATCCAAAAGAATTCAAGAACATTGTCGGGTTTGGCTAAAAAGAGGAGGCAACGGCTCAATAAGAAGTTCAATAGTCGAACACCATGTGAAAACAGGTCACTCAATCAAGATAGACTCCGCGTTCAAAGTCATCTACAAGGTAAGTAGATTTTTTCTGAAGACCATTAGACTGCATCTTCTTTGCACTGCCGAAGCATTAGCCATACATCTGGAAAAATAATAACTGTGTACGCAAAAGAGATTGGTACAACCTCTTCTGCTATTTATTTATTTATTTTAACACATAGGTACAAGGAGGCACCAAATACATATGCGCCACACAAATCTCATTCGATATGTGTGAGGGCTGTGATACTGCTCGGGTGCCCAAACCGAAGCAGGTGGTTTTCTTAGGGGACCACTCCCCGAGCCTTCGACCTGAAGGTCTGATCCATAAGGCAGTGGAGCATCGTAAGGAGATGCAGTCCCATGGAAGCCGGTCACCAACAATTGGTTCATACGCCATTTGTTCCCGCAGGATACTGGAGCCCATGTACACCATTGGTTTGGAATCCGGTTGAAGCGCCGGACATTCGCTTTTCGTCCTCTCATTTCTTCTGCTACCATGGTCTTAATGTCTGATAATTTCTTTTCTTTTTTCTTTTCTCATACTCTTCTTCCTTTACAGCCATCTGCTTCACTTTCCATCTTCCCCTTAAATTTTCTACTCCTAACTGGTTTATTTTTGCTTCTACTATCATCCTGATTGCATTTAATCTTAATTTCAACATTTTATCTTATCATGCTGAGCCATCCTTTCCCAATGATAATTTCCCTATCTATCTTTTGGTGAATAGTGAAGCCATTAACAATCAAATGATTATTAGACTTCCATTGTGTTTTTTTTTAATTTTCAATACATTTGTTTATTTGACTTCACTGTCACCATGTATAACAGAAGTTTATTATCAGTATTATTATCATCCTGTAAAAATAAGTATATGTATTTGCGATTGTACAGCTTTGAAAATGAATTCACCGAAAAGAGAACTCTTCGCCGAACTAATCTTTCTTATTTAATGTCTTAATGAGTGTATTACGTTTACTTACTGTATTTGTATAAAAATTCAGTCAGCCACCAACCCAAGATCTACGGGACTACCGTTAAAAATTCACCCCATAAATATAGTTGAAATCGATAAAATCAAAAACGAGGAGTACAAAAATGGTGAGTAATGTAGTTTAGTACCCAGTTACGGGTCAGTTGGAGATAGGTTATAAGGAACTAGAAATAAGTGGCTATCATAATAGGAATGTTGAATAGATAGCGTAACAAACGAAAGCCAGTGCTCAAACTGCTGACATGTATGGTACTTGAACGGTTGATGTTGATTTTTTAACTGCTTCCTATTCCGCAGAAATCGTCTACACTTGAACCCCAAACAGAAGATAGAAGATGGGAAATTTGATAAAAGTTTTACTTTCAGGGTTAGTTTAGGTAAGTAAAATAAGGATATTTGTAATTTTACGTCTGACCCTGATATTCTAAAAGCTTATGGAAACATGTCAAAATTAGTAAAATAATAGTTAATTATACAAATGAGACATGATGCATAATCTGTTACTTCGTAAAATCCTCTTGAAAGTCCATAAAAATATTTTCTATGAAGAGTAACAATTCCATATGTCTTACCAAACTTCGGTAGGGGGTGTGATTTCTAAGTCCATTATTCGTAAGTGCCTATGTCGACAGATCACAAAACTGTAATGCCAGAAGATCACAGCCTCAGTTTATAATTTAGTGAATAAAGTAACTAACAATTAAAAGTATGTGATTTTTCATACACTCAACATTACATTGCCTTTGAACAAAGATGAATTACACAATAATTAATATAATAAGACACCAATTTTCTAGAAACAATTTGAAGAGATAATACTTGATACATAGTTTGAGTTGCGCAAAGGCCGACTGACTATCTACAGTCGTATTCAGTAGCCGCAAATAATATCAACATACTTTAGACTGGAATATTTCCTTATGTTCGTATATTACTTCTCTAAGATCTTAACGTAGTAGTCCTTTAAGATATTATTAAGTATATGTCATAAACACTTACGCAATACCTTTACATAGTATCTAGTACTTAGTGGAGCGAGAAACGGAATATTAGTAGTACTAAATTTGAAGAAATATATAACACTCTTTAGCAAAGTATGAAGAGAAAAATAATTACTTCCCAGGTGAGTTGTATTTCATTTTCTCCCTTCAACTAAGTCTTACCCTAAAGTAATTTTTGTAGTCACTGACTATGTGATCTCATATACGTTTAAAATAGCTGTATTTTCATTTAAAAACCCGTAGTTGTATTGTGAGTCAAATGATTTAGGTTGTTATTAATTATGAGCAGAAACCTAGGTACTGTTTGACATGTTAATCACCAATAAACAACGTAAAACATGGAACATACGTATATCCCTTCAAATTGCACAGCAGTACAGAGAGATATCAAAGCAATGTAGGTAGAGTATTAGTGGTAAAGATTAAAGATTAGAGAATATTTGTGAAAATACAGGTTTGTGGAGTAAAAAAAGTATGAATTTATGAACTTGAGACCTTATGTAGCACAAAAAATAAATGCACCTGTGCTGTTGTGAACGATTTTGATCTGTCACTCAGCGTTTCTAACTTCTGGCTACGAAAATCATGTGAGCACCAACCAGGTAGTCTGGACCTACTTACAAGCCTTATTCCAAGAGCTGACCATGTCCTAGACTAATGCCACGTCTAAATTTGGGTCCACCTAACTTCATTCTAATCTACTCCTACATCAGACATTGCCACGCGTCGAAACGCGGTGTGTTTAGGCATGCGTGATATATGTTACAACCACCGGTTGATGGAGATCCCTAACTTCAACCGATTCCTTATCTTTACCCTATACCTTATACTCAACCATGTTGACCACTTGATGATCCCAACATACACCAGCACTGCTTTAAAGTGAATATATAATCAAACAATAGTGACCTACGAATGCCCTCTAGTCCAAAGAGGCATATCTCAAAGTTGAACAGAGCAAATTGATGCTCAGTATACTACCCCTTTGGTTGGTAGACAGACCATTACGGAGGAATTATTATCTTAGTGACTAATTTCTTTTAAAATATTCCACACGACGCTTAAAAATATGACTGAAGTTGTGACCTATATGCACTATTTTTATTCACCGAGGTCAGTTATGCCTATCTACCACTTAGGATGGCATTATTATTTCGGATTAATTCGGCTTAAGGTTTGATACACAAACCCATACTTAGGTTCTGAGTAAAAAAAGACACGTTCAGCATGGAGGAAAGGATAATCCGAGAAAGCATGTGTCAAGTGATTATCTGGAACTGAGATGTTTTTATTGAACAAAACTTACTTGACAGACAAACTAAATCCTTTACCGTCTGCTTCACTTTGACGCAATATAAAAGCTCCATCTGGTTGCAAATGTTGTGCTGTTTCTTGATCAATTTCTTGAAGTCTTTCTTCGGCTTCCATACGACTACAGTGTCGGATGTACCAAGGGTGAGGACGCATTGTGATGTAATTGCACGGTATTAAACCTGTTCGGCCTTCCTGTTCGGCTAGGTACCAGTTAGGATCGTCTTCCACACATAGTATCTATGAAAGTGAGTGATACGCATGTAACGCAATCGGATAATTTTTGAATGCTAAAAGTCGAGGTTAGTATGAGTGATTTCAAAAAATGAGACAGGAACTGACATAACGATTATACACGACACGACCTAGATAAGAAAGTAAGCTATTTATGGTATGTGGATAACATCTTTTTTAACCTTTTATTAAACACAATAACAACAGCCTGACTATACAACTGAGCTTCACTTTGTTTTAAGATCTATAAGGTCGAACCATTTGTGAAAAAACAGTTGTTCTTATTCATTCTCTACAGTTGGCTTGTTGTGACTGTGTTTGCTTTTTATACGAGTATAAGGCTCATTTTTACTCTGCAATAGTCATTTCAAGCTCTTAGGGTTTAACAATGATCCAAGGGAAAGTGGTTCCGATTTTCAAAAATGTCATGGATAACACTCCGTTAGAGTAGTGATCACTAGCATTTGTTGTTGAGGTTCATTTCGCCAAATTTACGAAAGTGAAACATCTAATTTATAAATCAACAAACCTCTGTTTATACTCTGAACAACTTAGTATTGATCTGCTGCAGAATAAGAACGCATATTACGAAAAATGTTTCGCAAACAGTCATGGAACTATAATCGGCTGTTTAGCTGATGAGTGTTAAAAATCAGACTACACAAAAATAGTAACGGTGAAGACCTTAACAGGACTTGAATTTCATAGGTATACCACAATAAAAACACGTGGGTGAATAAGTAGAGTGACTTTCAATGTTTTCGGGCATTTCGATGCGGAGTAAAATACCAAGAAAGTTTTCTATTTATCCATTAATAGGTTTTTATCGGTAAAGCCTCTTTTATTACTTTAGTTAGGATCAGAAGCATGGATCTGACAGTATGATCAAAAGCAAACACCTTGTACTTAGACCTGACCGATCGATATGTAGGGCCTACTCAGTGAGCTGCAAAGATTTAATCACCATCTTAAGCTAAACATATATGCAATGAATATACAAAATTATAACACTGAAGCTTATTATGGAAGTGCGCCACATTGTGCTATGTGATTATGTAATATTACTTACCTTTAAGAGACTTCCTTTTTTAAATCCAAGTTCATCTTCAGCGTTGGCAACAAAATCATAGCTAGCCTCAGCCTCCATCCCAAGTCGGAGTAACAACCCAACACGAAGCACTTAGGCACAAGGTCAATGGAAAGGGGTAGCGGGATATTTGTAACCATTGAGGGCTGAGGTTAGGTTGGAATTATACGTCACATTTTGAGTGTAGGGATTGATGTTACTCAGCCAATTACGTGGATTACTACTATGTGAGATTTTCTCATATACATGAACTAAGTAGATCTAAGCGCATGGGTGAAACAATTTCAACGTAATCACTAAATTAACTTTGCAGCTTTTATTATGGCAGTATGATAAACGTTTAAAGAATTCGGAGTCTGTTTCCACGAATTCTTGAATTTCATGGAGCCTTTACACTTTTAATATTGTGTTATTGCTAATTATTATCAGTGGTTCTTGTTGGTAAGTGTGACTTCTGTGTGCTGATTCATCGACACACTTGTAGCGGTAAATAAATCCCCAAAGTCAATAAACCTGTAAGTCTTTGACATTTGAGGCTCACTACATTAATTTTAGTGGACCCATCTAGCTGAAGGCTCTCGGTCATGCATTCACATCTGATGACGAGTAGGTACGCTGTGCTCAACTTCCATTATATCCGTTATATCTTCGAACCTTTTCGCTTCTGATTTCACTGGGTCGGCACGTTTTGACTATAGAATGTGTTGCTGGTCAGAGTGTTGTCAAACTCCAAATACTTGTGTCATCTTCAGTGGTGAGTCCTACGTGATCTGGTACACCTGTTTATAAATTGTCTGTTCCGTTTCAGAACTTTATATATCATTTCTTTACTTTGATTGTATATATTGTGGTATTTTTCGTATTTTCGGATATTTCTCTTCGTCTCGTCCATTCCTATACTTTATATTCGTCATGACCGAACAGACTCCTGAGTTACTTAAGATCAAGACTCTTACGCCACACTCATTCCAGCTAATGGCACTCTGGCCCAACAACATCGAAGCCTTGTTCTGCTACGCAGAAACTGTCTTCTACAAACACGGAGTGACAGAACCACGTCCGAAATTCCTCTTAGTGGTGAAGGCACTACAACAGGTAAGTTACGTCCAGTATATTTGCTAGTGATTTTTCAGAAACTTAGGAAACTCTTTGACGCGAAAATCTAACCGATTGACAAAGGTTATATGAAATCCCCAATAACATTGATCTACAACACGGCTCAGCAACAGACATGTTACGGATGCGAGAGGTTGTAACAGCTTAGATTGATTGGTTAAGAGGTGACCTCAAAAAACTAAGTATATGTTAAAACAAGAGAGCTTGAAGCGGTAAATCAATCCTCAAAGTCAGTAGCTCTGTAAGTCTTCGACATTGGATGCTGACCACATCAGCTTTAATGGACTCACCTAGCTGAAGGCTCTCGGTAATGCATCCGCACCAGATCACGACGTGCTCAACATCCGCTGCAATCGCTAGCCAGATTAGACCAGCCAATCCCTGATATAATGGTAGCTTATCAAATATATCTTCGAACCTCTTCAATTCTGTCTTTTGATTTCACTTGGTGTGTACGATTCATAAAAGAAGGTGATACTGGTTAGAGCGTTGTCAAACTCCGAATACCTGTGGGATTTTCATTGATGAGCCTAACGTGATCTGAAACACCAAATCGCAAACTGTGAGTCTGTTTCTTTTTGGAATTTCATAAGTCAATGCTTTATTTCAATTTTTTGTATATTGTGTTATTTTGTTTCGAGTTTTTGGACTTTGTTTTCTCCTCGTTCGTTCGCGTACTTAATATCTCACTACGACGCAACAGACACCTAAGGTACTTAGGTTAAGGAATAGGTCCCCAACTTCATTCCAAATAATGCCCTTCTGGCCAGAAAACATCGTAGCCTGGTTCTGCTACACGGAAGCCGACTTCTACGAACACGGCGTGAACGACACATGTGCACAATTCCTCGCAGCAGTCAAGGCACTACCGCGCGAATTCAACGGGCACATAACACCTGGTATATTTACTAGTGATGATTCAGAACCCTACGGATCAATTAAACAATCTATCCTTCAACGCGGATATCTAAATGATCGACAAAGGTTAGACCAACCCCTTAATAATATCGACCTGCAACATAGTTCTGCGACAGAGATTTTGCTTAGAATGAAAGAGGTTATCGGCCAAAGGACGTTGGATGATGGCCTATTCAAACAAACTTTCTTATCTAAACTCCCTCGACAGGTGCAAGCTGTGCCGGTTTCGTTTCAAAACAACGCCGTAGACGAGCTGGCTGCATCAGCCGATCGCATCTTAGAAACCACCAAATCATCTAACGTCGAGTTTTTTTCAGTCAAAGAAGAACCTCAAAGGACACAGAATGACATTACGGAACTGTTTCATTTGCTGACACGTTATCTACGGTTTTGTAATGACTGTAAACGGTCACTTACTCCGCGGAAAAGCACCTCACGTAGACGATATGTCTCTAGATTACGAGAGTGGGATATGTCCGACTGGCGCTGGTATCATATCCAGTATCGAAAGTCTTCTAAAGGTTGCAGAAAACCCTGCAATTTTCCCAACTCCAAAAAGACCAACACGAGTAACAATTCGTGAAACTTCCAAACCGGCGCGCATTAACGGCATCCGTAGTCGGCGAACATAGCCGTCTGTTATGCGTCACAGATGTGAAAGCGAAAGTTCGCTGGCTCGTCGATACTGGCGTAGAATTTAGAGTTCTTCCTGAAAATTCTAACGACCGGCTTCGCGAATCTGTTTTAAACTTACAGGCGGTAAACGGAAAGCCAATCGCCACATACGGTAAAAGGTACGTTTACCTTAACGTGGGTTTATGCAAACCCATTCACTGAATATTTGTTGTTGCAGCTGTTTCTATGCCTATCATTGGTATAGACGTGCTACAACACCACAATCTACTCATCGATACACGCAAACGGAGGCTAGTAGACGGAAACACTAATTCATCTGTTTGCGTAACTTCTTTTTCCGGTTGCAGATTATCTCCAGTCTCAATTAAGCATATGATTGACCTATTCTATCAACCACTACTCGATAAGTTTTCTGGGATATACCAACCGCAACCGAAATTGCAACGTTACACACCACATCACCACTACAGGACCACCTGTATTCTCGAAAACACGCCGGCTGGCTGCGGATTTCGACCACATGATAGACTTAGGTATCAGAAAACCGTCAAACAGCCCGTGGGTATCCCTCATGCAAATGGTCTCTTAGAAGGACAGCAACGATTGGCGTCCAAATGGTGACTATCGGCGATTAAAGGCGAAAACCATTCCCGATCGTTACCCGTTGCCTCACATTCACGACTTGACAGCTACCTTGAAAGGTACAACTTTCTTTTCGAGAATTGAGTTGGTTAAAGCGTATAACCAAATCCCTATGGCTACTGACGACATTCCAAAACGGCTATCATAACTCCTTTCGGACTCTATGAATTTTTGCGAATGCCTTTCGGTCTAAGAAACGCTGCCCAAACTTTCCAAAGGTTCATAGATGAAGTTTTCTGAGGTCCCAACTTCGTACATGAGTATGTTGATGACTGCGTAATGGCATGTCAGGACAAAGAATCGCATCTCCAGCATCTGGATCTTGTTTTCGAACGACTAAAAAAACATGGCATTACTGTAAACATTCAGAAATGCCGAATCGGAACAGACTCCTTAGACTCTCCAGGACACACTATCGATGCTCAAGGCATCCGACCTCTTAGAAGCACAGTGGCGGCCATTTTGGATCACCCAAAACCGACCACCATTAAACAATTGCGCACATTTAATGGTCTTGTAAGTTTCTATAGAAGGTTCATACCAAAATAGGCGTCACTTATGAAACCGCTAACCGACCAACTTTGTGGAAATGCGAAGTCCATTACTATGGACGACACCGCACGAAAAGCATTCTCCACAGTTAAGGAACTTATCGCTCAAGCATCAATACTTGCACATCAGGACACTCATGCACCCATTATTATTGCAGTAGACACATCCGACTCACTAATCAGAGGAGTCTTACAACAATGGGTTAACCACTCTTGGCAACCTTTGGGATTTTTCGCTAGACGGTTTCTAGACACGGAATCGAGGTACAGCACTCTTGGTAGGGAACTCCTAGCTATGTATTGTTCTGTACGGCATTTTCAACACTATAACTTCCTTGAAGTGTTTCCAAGGCATCGACCTCTTTAAACTCGCTCAGCTTCAAAAAGAAGACACTGATCTTCACAGCGAGTTATCCTCATTTACACTTAAACTGCGCATTAAACAGATGGGAAGAGGTAAGAAAACCTTACTATGTGACACATCTACAGGTAGGGAGCTCCTAATCGTGCCCAAACATTATCGACACAACGTTTTTAACGCATTGCACAAACTTCCTCATCCAGGTGCTCGTGCAACCATCAAACTCATAACAGAACGGTTTTACTGGCCTGGTATGAATAAAGACATGGTGGGGGGGGGGTGCGCACGCTCCCGCGTAAGATGCCAGAAATTTTATGTGATTAGACACAACAAATGTCCCTTAGGCTCATTTCAGGCAGAGACTTCCAGAAGCAGATCGCTTAATCTCCATCTTTAAATATTTTTTAAATTGCTGCCTCAGATATTCAGTTAACCTAAGGTGCTCAAAAATGATGAGATATTCTTAAAAAAATTATGGTTTATCATCAGGTTGGTCTACACCTGTTCACTTCATAGCCCGTGATGAGGTAAAAGAATTCGCTTAAAGCGCCTCAGTGTGATCGAGAAGAACTTTCACCATTTTGAACCATCAACACTGAATTCTTTCATACATACCCACTTCATATTCAAACACAAGGATTAGACGCTTGAATTCGGTAATCCTAGTGTGGCTCCTCAGATTACTTCCTGACCCAAATTATGGCATAAATTGCGAATGATCCGTAAGGTCCTAAAGATGCCACAGGTATTCGAAGTTTGACAACGCTTTTAGACGTATGATTGATGTCGAGGAGCGTCTTATTTATGCATGGCGTACCCACTTGTGATCTGGTGCAGATGTGTGACCAAACTCCTTCAGCTCGGGTGTGTCCAGTAAACTAATAAGGTTACCATCAAT